TGAGGTTTGACATTCATAAACTAAAAACAGCTGCTTACTAGAGAATTTTAGTGTTCTACTAAGACATCTGGCTGCCACATATTGGCAAACTTACCAGTAGTTGAAATTCCCACTAATTGTTGAAATTCTCTCAATTTTGAGAAAAATACTGTATCATGAATTTATTCGTATTCCTATCTTGAGTTAGTTGCAATGATGCTACAATTTTAAAATCATGACTTACCTTTATCATAATGGATTTAGTTTGTGATGAGGATTAACACCATGGTTACTATCAATATATATCTGCCACAATATCTTTAATGGATTCTATAGCTAATATTAAGGTATAAAAATGAAATATTTATCCTCATTAAAGTAATTCTGTTTGAAAAATAACATTACATTCTTTATCACAGAATTATTTTTTCAGTACAGAATGAGAACAGGAAATGAAGCTGAGTCATAAACACTTTTGCCCTGCCTAAGCTGAGTATAACAAACAACTTTTACACCATGACACACCCATATATTTACTACTTGTAGTTAAAAAACTGAAATCGAACTTTTTAAAACTGCCATGGAAGGGCTGGGTAGATAGCTCAGAGGTGTAAGCACCTGCCTGGCAAGGACTTGAGTTTGATCCTCATTACTACTTGCCTTGGGGACCATTGGTGTGCTGTGCTGGCCATGAAACCAGGTGTGGTAGCACACGCCTGTAAACCCAGAGCTGGGGAGGCTGAGAAAGGAGAATCTCAATGAATCTAAACTGTGTAGAAAGACCCTATATCAAATAAATAAATAAATAAATAATTTTTAAAAAATCCCATGGAAGTTCACGATATGTTGCCTGCCAGTAGTTCAGCTACCTGAGAAGACTGCTTGAGCCCTAAAGTTTAAGATCAGTGGGGGAAAATGTGACTCTGCCTAAAGAGAGATAGAAAATTGCTATGAAATTGAATCAAGACTACGTACATGTTATTGTTTCACAATTTTCCATTTCCATATAAGTTATGATAAAGAGATACATGGCATACCAAGTAATTGTCCCTGATGATAAGCCCTCCAACATAGTAATCTGTCATATGTCAGAGAAAAAAAGTGGTGAAAATTGTTGATATGCACAAGGAAAGAGTTACACAATAGTAATGTGTATGAATAGGGAAGGTTTTAACAGTAGATTTCAGAAAAGGTAAACATGCAAAGGTAAATGGAGCTATAAGTAACTAAGCAGGAAAAAAGTTCCATCCAACACCACTGCTCCCCAGCACACAAAGAAATGAATCCACAAAAAGATATAGAACATGACTAAATAGACAATACTTGTGGCACAGTGAGCCTGAGATAACAAAGAGGCATTTATATGTAAATATCCAGAACGTTGACAATCAAGTCTGGACCTTAAGAAAGATTTCAGGTTGCGATCTGGGAGCCAAAGTATAGAGGCATAAAATTAGAAAACACTCTGAGGTACTGACATAGAGGAAGGTTGAGAATTTTGATAAACATCTATACCTACATGAAAAATTATCCAGAAGACAGACAGTGAAGGAAATAGAGGAAAGAACTGAAGCAATAAATGACAGTGTCACACAAACAAAGATAAAGCAAAGAAATTTATGAGGACAGCAAGACTTAGAAAACGAAGTATTTAAATTGGCTTCATAAAGTAAGAAGTTAAAAAGGCCACTGGGAGTGGCCAGCAAGAGGTCATCAGTGACCTTAAGTGTGTTGTTTTCATAGAGTGCCTTTTGTTCACTCAACAGCTACCTACAGAGCAACCATGACGTGTGAAAAGCACAAGTTCGGGTTTTCCATGTCTAAGGAAACTAAAGAGTAGACAGAAGGCAGAACTGAAAGTGGTAAGAACTCAACAGTGCTTAAGGCAGACTTCCATAAGAACTTTTGGGTAAAAGAAAGTGAAATGATAGAAAAAGAAAGTAGGCCCATAAGAAGAAAACAAACGTTGATTTAACCTTTACATATTTAGAAACATAGACACTGCTGAGGCAAATGGGAAGAAGCCAGTGAAGACTAAGGTATGAAAGCAGTGAAACAGGACAGAAGGAAAGGCCAAATATACTGGTATCCATACCCACTGTATGGAGGTGTAGGCCTTCAGGAACTCAGCCTTAGAAGGAAGAAAGGAATGACTGTTGCCCTGAAAAAGGCAGAAGGAAGTAGGACACAGTATCTCTTCCCCTTCTTTTAAATAAAAGTAGGTATGAATGCAGCAAATGCTAAGGCCAAAAGATAATTTTAGATTGTGAATTAAATGTATGAAAGTCTTTAGCTATAAACCTGTTAAAAAACCTGTTACTATAAGAGAAATATACATTCCAGTAGAGGAATATATACAAGGAGTAAAAGTAGCTATAATATTGTAGAGCAGCAAACTCTGTGTAGCATATTATGCAGTATTTTAATAAACAAGAGTATCATGATATCCAAGATAAAATATACCTATAATTATTTAAAATAATTAATTTTAGTAGCTGAAGCTTATAACTTAATATTCTTGCCATTTTGATTTGGTATCTCAATATCCAATACAAGATTTATAGGTGCTGGGGAACTTGCTAGGTGGTTTACGTGCCTTCCTGGCAAGCCCAAGGACCCAGGTTCAATACCTAGTACCACATGCCACATACCACCCTGGAACCCGAGAAGTGCCATGTCAGCCACTAAAACTAGGCATGGTGGCACACACCTGTAATCCCAGCACTGGGGAAATGGAGACAGGAGAATCACTACAAGTCCAAGCTGTGTAGCAAGATCCTTTACCAAATATACAAATAAATAAAAGATTTTTTAAAAAAGATGTATAGATACAGCACATTTGTTTCTTACACATAATCTGTTATGATTCAGACTTGAGAGGGAAAATGCAACACACTTTTTTTCTTTTTTGCCACTGATACTTTATACAATTCAGGTTAATAAGATGGAAGCCTGAGGAGCAAGGTCAAAATATAGTACAGTGTTATTTTTAGAAAACTATTCAATAAAAAGAAAACGAATAGCATGGTTTATGCTACTTGCTAAATGAAAAATCTTCAACTGAGACTATTCTAAGTAGTATACTAATAAATGTTGCTAATCTTTTCTAAAACTATTTTCCCCTAAATTATGAGGCTGACTGTTGGCATTACCAACACACATACTTTCTGTGGTGCCTGCAGCTGCAGTCCTGAACTGGTTCTGTGTGGCTGGTTTAAGAAATCCTACAAGTAGTTTTAGAAAGTAAAAAAAAAAAAAAAAAAAGTTATATGGCCAAAATGCTACCACAGAGAGAGTACTACGTGGACTTTCTGCTGTGGTCTCACCCAGGTACTCATGGGATAAGTAACCCTAACAGCTTTAAATCAATTGGGAAACATTATCATGACTATGAGTGGCATGTATTTAAGAGGTCTAGACCCCAGATTTTCATTCTGAAACTCTAAGATACTAAGAATAAATAATAAAATTTTTAAAATAGTGGTAGCATGGCCCACAGTATTTAAAGAAAACAGAAAGGACTATTGTGATAGAGGTATATTCACTATATTTGCCACCATATATATTTATACTGAATCCACAAAACTGACTTTTTTTTTGGCAGATACCCCAGTTAGAGGACTGAATTTTGTTTTGTTTTGTTTAGCTAAAATAGTAGACCAGCACATATAAGCTAAGTAGGGAAACAAGCAGAGACCAAAAGAAAGGGGGGCAAAAAAAGCCTGAAGGTTTGGTGAAGGTCACCAGTACAGCAGCCCTGAGGAATTAAAAAATGGGTAATAGGAGTTGGTAACCAAAGACACTATTGAGATTTCAGAAGAAACTACCTTCCTGTGAAGTATATAAGGGTAAAGTTTCATATGTACATTGGAAGTGAAAATCTTGGATAGGGCAGATAACAGCATATAAAAGGTAAAGGAAGAAAGCTAGAGAGTCCATACAATGGCAAAACAACAGGCTGGCTATCTACTGGCTACAGAAAAATGATAAGAGGTTATAAAACTGGGAGCAGAATTTAGTAGTCAAACTCACAAGTGAGAGAGAAAGAGAAGCAAGCTAATTCTGAGTATTTCTTTCAATAAATAAGTATTTATACTTCTCACTATGAAAGAGAAGGCAGGGGGAAAAATTAACTTTATCCTTATCCTTCTCATATTTAATGTACTTGGACTGTATATAAAATTTTCAAAAAATGTTAAAAGTACCTATAACAGTAATAAAATATTCAAATGACTTCTTGTTTCTTTCACTGACTGAGCTAAGCTACCCTGCAATCCCTAGAAAGTCCTTTACTATCACAAATCATGAAAGAAAAAAAAAAGCAACTGAAACCTAAAGCTATGACTGTGAGACAATACATCCAGAACACAGAGATGACAGGTCAGCACATGTCATTAATTTCTCTTCATAGAAAGCACTATTGGCTGTAGAACTTCAAAAATTGTGACCTAAACCTAAGAAATTCCTATAGAAAAGAGACAGAGGATATCATGTTATTTGATTTCCAGATCAAAAAACTAAAGCAAAGACATTAAATGTCCTCAGTCAAAGAGCACACTTCATGTTAGCATCAAAACTGAGACCAAGACTAAACTCCCTTCTTGAGGTTGTTCTCCCTGACCATACCTCAAATGTAAATGTCCAACAAAGCTGAATTGGATGGATTTCCACCTAAAAGAATAATAGTATTGTTTACTAAAGGTAAAATATGATGAAGAAATCTAAAAGAATGCAGTACAATTAAAGCATTTGCTTGGCTGGGGAGATAGTTCGGCAGTATAAGCACCTGCCTGGGAAGCCCAAGGACCTGAGTTCAATTCCTGGGAGTATATTCAGTGCAAGCCCTGAAACCAGGCGTGGTGGCACATGCCTGTAAACCCAGCACTGGGGAGGCTGAGACAGGAGGACCACTATGAGTCTAAACTGCGTATGAGATCCTGTATCAAATAAATATTTTTTTTAAAAATTAAAAACATTTGCTTGATATTATTAATATAATTAGTATCAATTGAAAACCATACCTTTACTGCTTCTGATGAAAGCACATTTTCCCTTTTCTGACTTGTGCTCATGGGCTGATTTTCAACACTGAAAAATAAAAACCACAATTTCTTTTAAAATTAGAAGTTATTCAACTGACAAAGCTACTATTAAGCCAAAACCAAAATGTTCCTTTATCTGTAATACTCCAAGCTTCAGACTGAAAATGTTACCCAAGGATATGTCAATATGGATCTCTAAACCTGAAAAACACAATCATATATGCTCACCCAGGCTTCAGAAACTGTCAGTTCATTTATCTGCTCATGTTGATAGTCACATCACAATACTAATACAACAACATAAAACTATAAGAATCCTAGAAAGACCTAATACTATAACATTTATTTACATCAAGATTCTCCACAGTCTAACCTTTTCTTAATGCTTATGCTGAATGTTATTTCTGCTCAGCAAATCATTATAAACATATAGGTCCTTCTAGTGAATTCTGGTATTACTCAAAAATACATAAAGGTTTATCTAGTCCCAAATATGTCCCACATGGAGCCTTAAAAACCTACTTTTTCAAACAGTTCCTTTGAATTTTCTTTTGCCTGGCATACTTACACTGATGCCTTTAAGGGATGCTATCATAAAGTATGTTGCCTACACACACAAGTACATTTTAGCTCTAAATCCTTGTATCTCTGTGTTTCTATGTTTTGTGTTCATACTTCCTGAATCCTAGACTAATTGAGTAGCACCACTCTGAAGATTATCATGATTGTCTCCCATGTGGCAAGGATTCTGCTTGGCTTTGAGGACACAAAAGCATGTAGGTCTGGGTCTTTGTAAAACTCTGTCTAGTTGGGGGGGACTGATGAACAAGCAAATTTTAACAATATGGTTTGGTGAATGTTATGATTGCAGAGTGAACAAAGTACTATAGAGCGCAAAGGAAATAATTCTGTATGCTCAGTAAAGTGCCCTAAGAAGAGGTAAAAGGCAGGCAGTATACAGAAAACGGCCTTGTCAGGAATCCATGTTTGTTGTTTTTTTTTGTTTTTTTTTGTTTTTTTTTTGCAGAACCAGGGATTGAACTCAGGCCCTTGCACTTGCCAGGGAAGTGCTTATTCCACTGAGCCATCTCCCCGACTATGCTTTTGTTTTTTAACATAGGACTGGAACACATAATTCAGAATAGGCAAAGATAATCCTGCACAAGATGAGATGAGAGCAGTAATCAGTGAACGTAAAACTATGAAGAACTGGCTCAGCCTGTTAAAGAACATCATCTTTGTCCTAAGTGCAATGGAAAGACTTAAAGTGATGAAACCAGGGACAAGCATGAGCAAAAGATGACTGCCAGTGGACAAAATATAGAACTTTCATCACTGTGGTAGAAAGTGAAAGGGAGGGGACTTCAGTAGTTCAGATCACATAAAAATCAGTCCCAAATAAGAAGGGAAAGAAAAGACAGAATGTCTGCTGCCTAGATTTCTATCTGTAATATCTAGTGCTGTTATGTAGAATATTCAAGGATGTAAAAGTGACAAAAGACAAGAATAAAACAGGAAAATCCATGAATACTCAAAAAATACTGGATTACATTTTTATTATTTCCTACATTCTATGCAATAATACAAAGACTAGTAATAGATAGCCATGCTCTTAAAACTTTTGAATGTCAATAGGAAAAGCTAGCATGTAAAAAAGAACCATGCGAGCTGTGCGGTAAATACTTGAAAAATTCTGTAGGTAAAATCAAAATAGAATATGAAATAATATTGAAAAAATGAACTGCAACCTGTGTGTGTGTGTGTGAGTGTGTGTGAGTGTGTGTGTGTGTGTGTGTGTGTGTGTGTGTGTAAAACAGCATCTCAATGGTTATTCTTTTCAAGGCAAGTGGTGGGGTTTTGTTCTTTTTATTTTTCTAGCCTGATCTGTTGACACAGTTATTTCCTGTTTCATTCTGTGTGACCTGACACTTGTCTATTTAAGCTCAAATTTTTTAAGAAGTCAACTCATGAAATATATGTAAAAAGAACCTGTAAAGCTTGGGAGATAGCTCAGCGACAAAGTGCCTGCCTGGCAAGCACAAGGTCTTGAGTTCAATTCCCAGTATCACATGCCATGCTGGCCCCAGGACCAGGCATGGCCACACATGTCTACAATCCCAGCACTAGGAGGGCTGAGACAGGAAGATCACTATGAGTCCCAAATGAGTAGCAAGATACTATATAAAAAAAAAGAAAGAAAGAAAATAAAGATCTGGAATATAAGTATAATACAGATTGTGATGATTTTATAAGCAAATTCTCTAACTACAATCTATTTTGAATGCCTTATCTGAAAATTGAGCATACAATCAGCATGAAATTTTAGTCTGTCAGTTCTTGCTTCAACATTCCTGAAATTCCACTTAATTTCATATTTACAGGGCTTTCTATAAACATACTGCCTTGATGAGTTTGTAAATGAAACTAGTAAAATCTTTTTTTATTCTAATAGCAAATCTCTATACAAAATGTAGCCCTGAGTTCGTAGGATTAACCACTTTACTATTCCAATTATTTAAATACAGGATGATCAAAAAATTGCATATAACTTATAACAGAAATATAAAAACAACAATTGCACCAAATGTATTTAATACAAGAATCAACTGGTTGGGCAGGAACAATTGGAGGGTAAATGAGCCTTGGGAACTTCAGTGAGCTGCTTAGGTGGAGAAAAACAACACCATCAAGGCAGTAACACTGAGCCTTGGGAACATACATGGTAGGAGGGGAAGAACCCCACCCAACATCCTAAAGAACCTCAGTCTGGAGGAACCCTGGCGCCTGGCCCATATTTTCCTACACTGCAAGTTTAGCAGTCACTTTGGGAAGCTCTTGGGACATGACAACAGTCTTACCTGGAGGAAATGATGTTAAATCCACTCTAATAAGGGGAAATACTTCACAAACAATCTTCTAATTTATGCATGGTTCTGTTACAGACATAGAGACCTTGCTTCTATGGTCTAAGCTACAAAATCAATAGCTGGTCAATTTCTAAATTGTGCTTACTACTAATTGTACTCTGGTAGCAAGGACATCATACCTGTTGTAATCAGCTGTTCTTCCTTGTGTAACAATGTTCAGAAGTTCTGGGGAAATAACATCACCACAGCCTTACACAAAAAGTTGGGGATTGAGCCAAACAGAAGCCAACATATAACTTCTAATTAATTGGGAAGGTATGATCTTGAGACAGACACAAACAGAAGAATCTCCCCCACACAGAAGACTTCCTGAAGTACAGACTATTTCTGGAGATGCACTGATACCATGATATAGCTTCCTAATACCAAAACTAAAAAATGCTCATCATTGTGAATAACAAAATGGTAATTTTTTAATAGCACATGTCAAAACAAAGGAGCAAGGACAATCTCAGACCTCCAACCTACCCAAAGCAAGTTCAGGAGACATCAGTATAGAAGAAACTGGAGGTAACACACCTAAAATTTCTGAAATGATAACAAGTGAAGTAAAGAAATAACTCCATCAGCTATAGAAGAAATCATCAATGATTACTCAGGCAAAAAAAGAAATGACAACCATAATGTAAGAATTGCTCAGCATATCTAAAGAAGAAATAGATAAAAATAGAGCAGTATAGAAAAATGATAGAAACCTTAAATGAACAATATAGGAAAGAATTAGAATGCAGATTCAAAGATCCAGGAAGTGAAAAATTGCATTGAAAGCTGGCAAACCATTTGGATGAAACTGAAGATAGACTTCCAGACGTTGAAGAAAGCATTGCAGCTAGCAATCACGAAAAGAAAGATTTCTGTAAAATACAAGGAATCAGGATATAAAACATCAACAGCTACAAAATGATGCAAAGACACATAGTATTAAACTGATTGATACCAACAAAAAAGCATGAGTCAACAAAAATGCTATAAAAAAACTTTGCAAAAGGAATAGTAGAAAATTTCCCAAGCATAGAATAAAGAATCTGACAGAGTGAGTGAGGAATATAGAACTCCAATGAGCCATAACCAAAATAAATCCACACTTGATTATATATGACATATAGTAATCAAGATCCCAGAAATTCAGCATGAGAATAGAATATTAAAAGATGTTGAGAAAAGAAATACTTATTTTAAAAAGCCCATCAGAATCACAGCACACCTCTCAACACAAACCATAAAGTCAAGAAGGGACTGGAATGAAATATTTCAGATCCTGAAAGAAAACAACTTCCAAATCAGATTGATGTGCCCTGCAAACTATTTTCAAAATTAATGGAGCAATAAGATACTTCCATGACAAACAACAACTGACCACCAACCCTACAAAGACAAAGATATTCCAGCGCCAGCCCTCAGCGGACTAAAGTGCCTGCTTAGGCAGATGCAGGGGCCAGGGATTCAATCCCCCATTGTGCCATGCCAGCCCCACTCCCAAGGCATGCTGAGCTGTTGATTTGAGTCTGGGTGTGGTGGTGCTTGACCGTAATCCTGGCACTTGGGAGGCTGAAAACAGGAGAATTACTACAAGTCCAATCTATGTAGTGAGACCCTGTAAACCTTGTAGACCCTGTACTAAATACATTTTTTAAAAAAAAGATTCCAGCAAGAGATTTTTTTAAAAAATCACAATTCCAAGAAAATAACAGAAAGGAACTACCAAATGGACCAATCAAATTAAACAAAGGAAAACTGTAGGGAACCAACAGCAGGAAAGTAACATAAAGATGAGCTAATATATATCAGCTATAATCATTAATGTAAATGTGCTCAATTCACCAATCAAAAGAAACAGGCAGAGTGGATCAAAAACAAAATCCAACAAAACTCCATATAGGGCCAGCGAGATAGCTCAGTGGACTAAACACCTGCTTTAGCAAACACAGGGACCAGGGTTCCATCCCTGGTCCCACATTCTGCACCAGCCCTGCCCCTGGACGCACTGAGCCTGCAACAGAGACTGAACGTGGTGGTGCATGCCTGTAATCCCAGCACTGGGGAGGCTGAAAACACGAGGATCACTATGAGTCTGAGATGTGTAGTGAGACCTTGTACCAAATACATAAAAAAGAAA